ACATACATACATACATACACATACACACACACTTGCTGCCTCAGTTGTCATTCAACAAGCTTCTAATTGCCTCCGACTTGATTTTGGCATTATCATATCTACTCACCAGTATTTCAACTTGACTTTGCTCAGGTCATACACTTCGATCACCTGTCCCTCACGAAGATGAAAAAGTTTAGGGTACAAAACAAATAGTCAATTAAATGTCAACAACAAGATCAGAGGAGTCCAATATATGTGTCAGATGCTGCTGCTTAAGTCTCATAAAATCAACAGTGTTCACCTTGAGTCTCTGATTTGTGGCATCAAACAGCAGTTTAATCCCATCCTGAGTCAAGTTCAGTATGAGGTCATGGCTGAGTGGTGTCTGGAGGGGAGATAGAGAAACTAATTAATAACTGAGAGGCCCTCATGAAGAGATATGCAGATAGGCAAACAATCAAAATCAGCTGTTTTTCCAACTTAACTCAAGAGAAACAAGGCACACACCAAGATTTATTTTTTAGAGACTATTTCATGTGAGAGTACGTATGTGTTTCATATTTGGTGTCGTACATGTTAACATGAACTGCTTCCAGTTGTTCTTGAATAAATATTGAATCTAAGACTGATGGTGCTGTAATAACAACCTCCCTAACGAACTCTAGTTATCGCTATGGAACCTGGGAAATCATTTCATATAGCCTCACAGATATTGGATTTTTGAGGCAGATGCTTGTTGTTGGGTTTTTTTAAATGAAAAATTAGACAACGGTACATCAGCCTGAATCCAATTGTTTTTTAAGAATTGTGACCACGACACTAATGTCTTAAAAATAGACATTTCAGTGCTCTCTGCTGGACACATTATGTATTGGCAAAACTATAACTGAAGTACGTCAAACATAAGTTCGTCATTTCTGGTAGCTAATCAGCCTAAATGCACGGCACTACGATATTACTGCCAAAAATATTGTAAAAATCGAAATATTTGGGGTTGTAAAATGAGTGGAATTGCTGTGGCCACACAGGAAAGCCTAAAAAAAAAAAACTAGATTGGGATTTATAAACAAGCTGATTCACATTGTTTTGTGAGTGTGACAGACAGAGCCCATAATAAAGACAGACTTCTGGCCATCTCACCTGTTCACTGTATAGCACCTGGACATTTTTGATGATGCGGCAGTGTTTCTGCAGAATAGAGATGGCCTGGGCCAATGGCATCCCTGGAAACACAGACATGCACGCAGAAATAAAGAGAAGCAACCGTTTGTCTTATTGAGCGTCAGTCAGCAACAGTTAAGATGAACATGCAAGGGAAATCATTTAAAATATGGCTTTGATTTAACATGACTGAATAGCTTATCGTCTCAATCGCTTTCTCCGTCTCTATAGAACTTGAAACAGTTGTAAAACTCACCTAAGGCGAATTCCCATTGCTCATTTCCTAGTGATCTCTCAGGCACCACCTCCAGGTCCAGCATTGGCAAGTAGTGGGGGGCAGCTCACCTCACCTCAAGACACAATGGGACCCTCTGAGGGACCCGTTCTCTTCGCCCGTCTGTCCCTGATCCCAGCACAGTCTCAATAGTTTCAGATGGCTATTTTAGTTCATAACTCCATTGACTTATTTTTTCCACGTGAGCGCATCAAACAGCTCCTCAAACTATGGGTTACAGTAAAAGGTAGCCAGTTTCTCACATGTCATATGAGATTAAAAAAAATAAAATAAATGAAAACTAATGTGTTAAATATTCAAAATGAAATTCACAGAGCCACCTAAGACTTACATACGTTTTAAATAGCAGTTTAACAAGTTACCCAGAAAAGTCTGAAAGCTTGCAGACAAACAAATGATGCACCCTGCCAGCCAACCTCAGCTTACAAGGACAGCTGTCAGTTAAGCTAGTACCCGTTTGTGTGGCTTTATCACATAATCGATATGGATTTAACAAAAATGAATTCACTCGATTCGACGTCAGGAGTAAACAAACAGATTAGTCTGACGTGTTCAACAGCCACACGTCCACATCAGGCTTCAATGTAACAACGTGTTCGGTTACAGTTGTGTTCCAGGTCTCCAAACAGACCAACAGAGCAACTGATCCAGTGATGAACACCCCAAAAAAATACAGGCACAAAAAACAACGTGTCAAAACCCGATTATTGTCACTGTTAGCTATCGTCTTCTGTCACTGCTGGGCGGTTACGAAAGCACCAAAGCTCGACAACAACACTGTTTCTTTGCGCTACGGGCTAACGTTAGCTGCCCTGCGCGTAATGGTAATAAAGTATAAATATAAATAACGTATGTGCAGAAAATAACTCTGAATTCAAGACAAAGACAATGTATATCGCGGTTCAGACAGGCACGACATTCACAAAGAAAGCACGCCGAGCCGTGGGCTGTCTCTGCTGTCTTTCTTTCTTCCTTTCAGCAGAGGTTCAGGCTTTGGAGCTAGCTCTTCTGCCGCTTGTGCGCAAATTCCTGGCCGTGAAACGCTTTCCTCGTAACTCGTAAGCTCGTCTGCCGGTAAATGTCCACCGTGTCCTTAGCTCGGGTTTAATATGTGTTCAATGTCAGGCGCAGATAAGAGCAACACAGTGTCCAAACAACAGCAACTTCAGGCATCAACAACTGCCAGCAGGATCAGCTGATAATTCAACTTCCGGTGTTCGACGCACGTTCTTGGTAGACGCGATGACGTCATGGTCCGTTGACACAGATAGCGTTTCAAAATGTGCTCAATTTATGAAATATCTGAAACTGATGAAAAGCAAGAGAGAACAAAACTCTTTAAACTTTGTTATTGTAATAAGGTTTAAACTACAGAACCCCTTATTATGTCATTTATATTTTGTTTTATTTCAAGACATGCTTACTATAGTTAGCCTAAATTGTTTGTACTCAACTTTATTCTGTAATTTACAGAGCTCCTTTATGTTTAAACAAAAATGTAAGCATCAAAATGTACTTCAAGTAAAGTACTCATAATGCAGAATGGACCATTTCACAACAACATATAATATTGTACTATAATTATTGATGCATTAATGTGTTCTGTGCTTTAATGCTGTTGGAGCCCATTTCGATTTTGGCCTATTTATATAGATTTTTGTCCTATACATTCATTTTCAGGGTAGCTCGTGAATTTCCCCCTTAGGATCAATTCAGTGTCATTGATATAATAATAACAATATGTATTTATTGTTAAAATATATATATAATATTCAAAGTTACTAGATATATTCTAGTAAAAAGTACACTGTTTACACGCTGAGGTGTAGTTGAGTAGAAGTGGAAATACCTGAGTAAATTACAAGTGCCTCAAATTTGAACTGAAGTACCGTACTTGAGTAAATGCACTTAGTTAATTTACACCACTGCGCAAAGGTGTTGTCACTTATTCTTGCTGATCAGACTGTTCTTGTTGAAGGAGGGCAGAGCTATGCTGTGAATACTGTAATGTCACTAAACTCCATGTAGTAATAAGAGCTATCAAAGTGTAAAAACTTGGAAAGAGACACAGATGCCAATCAAGCACAGTCACCACACTACAGTCCTTAGAAACATCAGGCAAAGTGAAAACAGTGAAGTACCTGTTTCAGTGAAAAGATCAGAAAAAAAAATGCAAGAATTCATACATGTTTATTATGAAAAACTTACAACATTTTGAAGTGAATATCTCATATTTCTGATTCCTCCAAGAGGACAAGCTCAACCCTAAACAGAGAGAAAGGCAGACCGCACACACAGGAAGGAGAAACTTACAGGGAGTGTGTACAAGTTCTTCTTTGGATCTCTAAATAAAACCAAAGTATAAATAACTTAAACAAACAAGAAGAGAAACAGAAAGACAGAAAGAAAATGGTTGTGGTTTATGTTTTTTGCCTTAATGCCTGCATCAAGAAAATTGAGGGATGGAGTATCAACTAATATGTCTACATGGGTAACCACCTAAATAATGGTGATATTGGGTGGGTGATAAACTGTGGTCATATCTACAACCTAGAACTTTTGTCTTTTAAAATCAATCCCTCACTAATGTTTCTTAACCTGAGCACACGGTTTAAATCCATAAGGATGCAGTTGAACTACACAACATGGCAGACTTCATTAGACCACCCATGGTTTTTACTAGATTTATCAGGAAAGCAAGCTTGATTAGCCATTGATTGATCTAGCTGTAGTACAGAAATAACCGATTAATTCATGACTTACAGAATTCCAAAAACATACAGTGAGTCTCCCTAACCGTACAGTCCCTGACTGTCCACCTACATCTCACCTCTCATTGTACTGGTTCATTACCAATGCTCTGTCAGTTCCCACTGATTCCCTGTCGGAACCAAAGAGAACTTTCTGGGAACTTTTTATACAATGAATTCAAGTGAAGAGTTACTTAGATTGTGTGTCATAGAAACATAACAGCCACTGTACATGTAAATCTATGACAGCTTGCACCACTTGTTCTAATGCCTTCCTCTGTCCCTACATTCACCGCACCTCTTCATTCAACGTCTTTAATGCCTCGTCACTGCTGTGTCGACTCTGCTAGACTTCTCCACACAACGCTATATCAAACTCAGCCGAGACACAAAAATCCACTGCTTATCACACTGAACGTGCCCCAGGACAGAAAGTATAGTTTTCCACATTCCTCAACTAATTTAGCACCGAGTCACAGGGCCAGCTGTCTTCACAGGATCAGTATGCTCTGAGAAAAATTAAAGCATTCAAGCTTTTTAATGCTGCCTATGAGAAAATGAATTCCACAAACTTAGGTTATCTGAATGAAGACCTCCTATTCGGGATGAAAATCCTGCTTTGTTTTTTGTTGTGCCCCGAGCTTGACAATTTGACCTGGTGTGTTTTTGTTAGTGAGGTTTTGGAAAAGTTGACATATTTGTTACCATTTCAACTTAAACCGTTCCTTTTAGTTCTTTTGCGTGAGGTCTTTTATTACCTTTCTGTAGCCACGGTTGGGCTGTGGCATCATCAAGTCTATCATGGTCAATTCACTTTTTTATTATAATTTCAACTATTATATATTTCTTTACTGTAAATCTCATTGTAAAATGTTACTCTCTATCAATCAAAAGTTGTCTCAGCTCACGTAAAGCTCATCAAAATTCTTAATAAGTCAAACTGAGAGAAAAGAAAAGCATGAATAAGAAAAGATTTGTCTCATAATTATTGTAATGCAACAGTTGAGTTCAATAAACATAAATCACACTGGGAATTCAAATGAGCCTCTAGTTGCACAATATAAAAATAAAAGGGTTTGAGTCAATCCACATTCAATGTGTTTATCCCAGGAAGTGGATTTCCTTAAAAAAAAAAAAAAAACAGACCATAAAAATAACATTCATATATGGAACACGTGAAACAATGAAAAACTAAAGCAACAAATGTCCTCAAAAGTCCTAAATCTCTGGAGACGTTTTGTAATTTTCAACTCAGCTTTACATAAAATAGCCTACCGCTGCTACTACTAGTCCATAAAAAAGCTGAAAGATGAACAAAAATGAATACATATACAGAGGTGAGAAGTAATATAAAAAGTAAACATCATGACTTTCACACAAACAAAATGATAAGATAAAAAACATACCGTTTCATAGTGCTGTAACAGGACAGGGAATAGTACCTCAACTGTATTTAGGCTTTAACTGTCCTTCAATGATGAAGGACATCTGGGTGATTGATCGATCAATAGATGGATTCTGACTACATTAGATTGGTACCATAGACTGTACAATCTATGGCCTGGCCAAAAAATGATTATGGTTGGTTTCAATCCAATTTTTCTATACAGAAGTGACAGAAGTAATATGGGACACCTGCGACTGATGTGTATGGTGTGTCTTATTTATTTTCTGATTTGATTAATTGCATGTTATAGTCAGATGTTACATCATCGCTGTATAGTATAAACCACGTATCTCCAAACAGTCAACTTTTCATGAGCTAAGTAGGAAATGTTTCTTAACCCATAAAGGAACACTTAAATCCTTCAGTTTTTAGAAGAAAAAAAATCACAAAATTTGAAGGTACATGGTTTACACTGGACAGCGATTTTATGGTATGATGACTCTGTTGCACTGAAAAAGTAATACACTTAATTCTAAAGGAAATTAAGTATCACCAATTTCATGCACACGGTTGGGGTTCATTTATGTCAGATCACAAGTCCACCTGGCTGACATATCCCGGTTAAATAAAAACAAAAAAGAAGCCCTTTGTCGAGCATGCTACTGTTTGGGTCCACGTCAAGAGCGTGCCGAAATTTGGCTGCACAATAACATAGCCTTGAATCACCCAGTTATTCCTTCCCAAAGCGCTGTAAAGTGAGTGCTCTCTTGTAAATAGACTGCACAAAGGGAACAATGGAGAACGTAGGCCTGTTTGGCTTCATGCATATAAAGAAAATCCAAGTGGAGAACCAGTCTGATTGTATCACATAGTGCAAAACCCCTCAGAGGACTAAGGATGTTTGAATTGACCCATACACCCACATACCCCACAAAAACACCCAATCATTTTCTGATTGCTTCCAGAGGCAAAGATAGCAGAATTTGTAGCAGTTTTCTTTGTTAATTCGAGGTTGTTGCTACAGAATCCGTGATTCTACAGTCACGGGCATCTCACCATAGTGATGTTTCAAACACATCATGAATATTAGAGTACAGCAAACACTGCTTAACCATAAAACCTGGTATAATTCTCTCTGGATGCCCTCCTCCAACCTGCCCACATGAATGTGATTCAGTTTACCCTGTTCTCATCCCCCTCCCCTCCCTTTTACAGCAGGTGAACTTTGGTCTAAGAAAACAGCAGGTTTCAGGAAGTGTGCTCGGTATAGTTGGGGTTAACAAGGGCATGCCCACAAATGTGAAATGTTGCGCAGCACTGAACAATGCAGACACAATGCTTTTCCTTTTCCGCCCCTCAAACTGTCAACACGTCACCTTTGTTGCATGCTCCTCTGGTAATCCTGACCAACAAGCCCTGGCCATGACCCTGAGCCAAACAAATCTCTCTTTTCTCTGCCCCCTCCTTCTGTCTTATATAATACCCCCTCACAACCCCTCTCCCTCTACTTTCAACATCTTGTATCCATAGAAAATATTCTTTTGGTATTTGAATCTAGCCCTATCAATTCATTTCAGACCTGGACAAAAAATATAGAAGTTTTTGACTGATTTGGTCTCTGCTTTATATATCTGAAACACTCATTTGACTCAAGAAACAACTTCAACTCTGGATGTGTCACATTTGCAAAATAATGCTAATTCTACTGCTCACGTTCCTTCCTCTGTATTTAAATGTATTCAACTACTGTTTGTCCAGGTCTCTTGTGTCCGTATTCCTGTTACTCCCTCTATTTTAGAGCTTGATTCACTTTCAATTCAATCAATTCAGGAAGTTTATTTTCTTCTACATTTAAATACGTCAAAAAATCTTGCCGACTGAAAACGATCATATCAAACCTGTTAGGAAATAATAGTGAACAATTGGTCAACAATTGCAGTTTCAGTTGACTTTTTATCAGTTGACTGTATTGAAAGTGAATGGACAGCCAGCCCTGTTTTTCTCTTCTGCCTCTTTTCACTACTTCCTCATCCACTTCCTCCTCAGCGCATCTTGTGTTCCACGTCAGCGTTGGCCATGTTTGAGCCAGGGCTGGGGTCCTGTTGTCGTCTGGACTGGGGAGAGAGAGGGATGGAAGGATGAAAAAAAGGGGAGAAGAGAGGAAGAGGTAAGGAGAGAAAGAGTGACGAGGAGAGAAGACAGGAAGAGGGACATGTGAAAGATAGCAAGAAAGGGATCAGAGACAAAGAGACAATACATTAAGTACAATTAACAGGTGTAAAGACGTATGGTAACACTTTACTATCTACAGACACATAATCATAAATGATTACAACTATATTTTACTGTGTTATGAAGTATCAACTGTTTAATCCCCAGTTATGGATCCTTTATAGGAGCAGTTCAATTGATGACAAAATAAACACGTATAAATGGCCATATATCTTCTTACCACAACTCTATAGTGTGTTATAAACCAATTATTTGTTGTTCACTAACTGCTCATAAATGATATAAAGTAAAAATAAAATGTTAGCTCCAAGGTTATGAAAGGTAACTGACCCAAGGACCCAAATGTGAGAACTGTACTAAATTAATCTACAAGTATTAACAAATAAAAGTTGCAGTTCCACAAACTGCCCCTAGAGGAGGCCAGAGAACTTTATGATGACAAGGCTCAGCGCTGCTGTTTATACACTTTACTGATATTTTAGTCAAGGTGGCTGGCAGACGGACAGGCAGACGGACAGATACACTGGCAGACACAGATAAACACACACACACACCAAGTGGATCATTAGGTCATCATTAGGAGTCATCAGTATGACAAGACTTTTAAATATATTTCATGACTGCGTGTGTTTGTGAGCCTGTGGCATGACCTGGCTCCTGATGTAAAAAAAATAAAAAAATTCTTGTGGTTAGATGTTTACACTTCAGTGATAGCTGAGGGGAATAGAGAGGGGGGTTGAAAGGAGAGGGAGGTGATAACGTGTGTGGAGAGGTGAGGCAGAGAGCAGAGCAGACAGAAATGCAGACAGAGATAGTAAAGGGGTCGCTTAGTTCAACTGGAATGTAGTTTGTGTCATCTCAATGACTCACCATAATAGCAACATATACACACACACACACACACACACACACACAGTATGTCATACTACCATTTTGACTTCTAACAGCCAGACTGACTCCAGTCTCCTCTGGGAAGCTTTCTGTTGCTTTATCAAAAATGCTGCTATCAGATAAATATAATTAGGACTTGTGGAACCACAATGAACTGGACTCTTAATTGTTCAATTGACTTTGAATTGAATTTGGGATCTTGCAGAATTGCCAAATTCATTTCAATGTGAGCTCTATGTGTGGGTAACTGAGTTTTGTTATTTATTATTTTACAAAATGATTTACATGGTATGATGCAGTGGTTCCCAAACCTTTGCTATCATGTCGTAATTTGGAAGTTGAAGAGAAGAAAAGCAAACAAACAAAAAGCATCAACGCACTCTTTTTTTCTTCATTGTTCCCAAATGAATCTGATTCATATTACAGCAGATCATTTTGCCTTGTGATAGCAGGAAAAGCACAGGTGGAACAAATAACATGAACAGTCCGCTCCAGCAGTTATTGCAATGGCCTGCAACAGTTAATCACGTGACTTGTTACACCTGTGCTTGAAATGTCAAAATGTCTGTTTGAGAAAGGCACATTCAACTTATGTTTCACTTCACGTTTGTTCATTATGAGCTGCATTAGCTAAGCGGAAACTAGAGTGTATTAATCAAAGTCAAAGTAAAAAAAAACAAATCAAACACCTAAACACTTGGTTATCTGATTATAATCGACCACATCAGTTGCATGTTACTTTAAGTGTTTGGAGTGATTTAAGATACATTTAGATGATGGACAAATTCTACAAAAGCCAGCCTGCAGAGATGTGAATATGAACACTGAGGGCTCTGAGTTTATATTCACTGTTCTCACTGTTGCTGCTGCATCGTGGCTGTCGTGTAGTGTTTGTAGAAGGGAGTGGCCTTTGCTAATCATAAGGGCAGGAGAGCTTTCTGTATTGATCTACACACAGATGGAAGCCTGCTGGGCCACTATAGGCTGCTTAACCACAACTCAATACTGGAGAGGAGTGTGTGTTTGCGTGTGAAGTGACGAACTTAGAGATTTGCTATATCTGCGAGATTGTGCACATGTGACTGTACAGTATCTGAATGTGTGTGTGTGTGCGTGTGTGTGTGTGTGCGTGTGTGTGTGTGCATGTGTGTGTGTGTAAGTCAAAGCAGGGGGTCTGATGGCAATCAATACTAATGATATATTAATGCTTTCAGTGCCAGCTCATCATTCACCACCAAATCACATTCTGTTGAGCACTTGGAGAAGTGTGTGTGTGTGTGTGTGTGTGTGTGTGTGTGTGTGTGTGTGTGTGTAAGTGTGTGTGTGTGTGTGAGAGAGAGATAGTGTGTGGTTCAAAGGCACACTTCTTCCAGATCGATCCCTTCCTCATCCATCATCCTGTCAGTTACCTTCTGACCTTGAATGACTGGAATTTCACTTATTTTGGATGAAAAATGTTGTATCTGCCAAAATTTGTGAACAAAAAGGCTTCCCTGTTGTTCTGCTGAGCTTTACTTTAATAAAACGTACACAAGCCAAACAAATTCGAAGTTTGAGAGTCAACTTTCCCCAACAGCATTTTTTAAAGTCTAATCTTTGTTGAACATATAGCAAGTTATCACTGATCAACTTAAAAATCAATCTTATTCCGACTTTCAGTGAGATGTTTTATGGTTTAAGTAATGTCTTATACATGTTTCTCAGATTGAGATTGTGTCTTGAAAATGTAACATCTTTTAGATGGTGAAAACCATTTGTATGGACTTCAGTCTAAATATCATACATTGTATGCCACCTTGTGTACCCTCCAGAGATTCAACTTATACATGTATTCATGTACAATGCAAGCATGAAAAATGTATGACTAAATTACAGTATAACTCTATGCCAGCCCCTTTATCCCATGCCTTGCCCTACTTAACTCCTCCTCTCTCTCTCTCTGCTGCCCTCTTTCACACACTGTTCCTTCTGCATTTCTGCTTCTCTGCCTGATCATCTATGATTGATTTACAACAGACGAAATCAAAATATATGTTTTACAAATATAGACAGTAAATATAGGGGGAATAATTTCATTAGTCTTTACAAAAATAACACACATTTAGTGACTTCTGTCTTTGTTTTTCTATCTGACAGACAGAAGAACTACAGACGGATGAATAAATCAGCAGCTAACTAGAGACAAAGAGAGACAGAGGGAGAGGTGGCGTTCAGACCACAGCAATGCAGAGGCTGAATCTGTGCAGCTATTCGGCAATGCCCGTCAGTCACACCCAGAGAAATAGCTTGGAGCTGCAATATCCCACAGCGACTGCTGTTTCTAACAATCTTAACTCTACAATCTTACTCACATGCAGTTGTGTTATGAAACAAATTTTGCAACCGGAGAAGAATATTAACTCAATCTAAATTATCCCTTACTCCAACAGTAGACTTGTCACCCACTATTCTTTCTCTGCACCCTACACACACTCTAGAGAAGTCATTACTGCACTGCACATCACAAAATAACAACAAATAAATAAGGAGAACCAAAGCATCTAGACCTAGAATCACCGCCTCGTGTTGTATGCCTCCACCAACCAGTCATGTTGCAATTTACATCCTTGTCTGGCCAAAATGTCATCACTTCATAAGTCTATCCTAAAAGACATTTGTGCGTGATTGTTAAAATTAGCATATAAACTATTTGAAGTTATGGCCTAAATCGTGTTTTGTGATGTCACACTGACCTATGACCACCAACATCTAGTCAGTTTATCTTTGTCTAGGTGGACGTTTGTTACAAATTTGAAGAAATTCCCTCAACACATTTACTGATATAGGGACGGAACTATAATGCAGACATAACATACATACATAACACTATATCCATGTTGTCTACACCCATTTAAGGGACACAACAGGTCCAGGGCCATGAAGGGGACAAGAATTGTTAAGGACTGTGCAGTTTGTTTATTATATTGTAAAATGTATGGCATAAGGAACACTTCTTTAGAGCCACAAGTTGGTCCACAAATTTGGTGAAAGAAGTGTGGCTTCTTTGGTGTTTTGATTGTGCGCATTCATCAGAAAGGTCAGGGAGTGAACTGCATGCAAAGGAATGTGTTTGATAAAGAGAGCACATGGTGGCAGAGAGAAAAACTAAATGTTTGAGGGCCACAGAGAAATTGCTCCGACATGCAGCT